GCAAATAATTCTAATAACGCACAACCAAACTGGCATAATTTCTGTCGTTTTAGTTAGGGTTTGTTTGTTTGTTGTTAAGCATAAAGCTATAAAATGGGCTATCTGTTCCCTGCCCACCATGGATTCTGAAATATGACTTTTGTTGTTTTTTTTCTTTTATGTTATAAAGCCTCAGATCTACTGCTGAACCACTGGAAGTTTTTGGTAGTAAATGCAATTAAATAGCATTATGTTCAATATATGACTCATATATAAAACAGTGAGTTTTACCAAATTCTAAAAGAAGTTTCTGTGCTGCAAGAATCATTAAACGATTGTCTAACTTTCACTATAAAAAATTTCTTTATCAAACTAAGTGCTCAATTTTTTAAAAAAAAATCTCCAAAATTAAGAAACTATCATGTGACTAATTTTCAATAAACTTGGAACAATGTAACTACTTTATAGATTCTCAGTAGACAAGTTCCATATGACAATCAGACTACTTCAGTCAAGAACTGCATTTACTACATAAGGAATTCCATATGATAATCAGACTACTTCAGACAAGAACTGCATATCTATACAGGAATTCCATATGATAATCAGACTACTCAATTCAAGAACAGAGCCGCATTAAGATATAGTGCCACCCTAGGCAGATATTTTTTGCCATCCCTATCTCCATGTGATCACTCCTGAAGTGAAACCTTTGTATTAGTTATGTCATTAATCACAAGATCAGTCAACTGATCACTCAGCACTCTTGACTGGTATCTCAATCTGGTGCGGTGGATTGTGGCACCCCAGCATTACAAAATTAAATAATAATTCATCAAATATTTGTTCTCGCTTTCGTTTGATGTTTCTTAAGTTTGCTGCCTTACGCAGCTGCCTACTCTGTCTATGCAGCCATGTTCAAGAGCTCCATTCACCTTATAAGGAATTCCATAAGACAATCAGATTATTTCAGTCAAGAAATGCAGAAACTTTTCTAGAATTGATTGTTTTATAAAGAACTAAATGAAAAAGATCTATGTCCAAACAAATTTTATCCTTTCATAATATGCCACTGTGTTTATTAAACATGTACTGTTAAAAGAAATATACCACTAGTTTGGAGTTCAAGGTTTTGTTTTTTCAAGTCAAAAGCATGAAAAATATTTCCCTAAAATTATATTTTAAATAGAAAGATAATAATTGGAATGCATATATTACCAATCATAAGGACAACACATCTTAGCTAACAAGGCCCTTACCTGAGAGCACACAAAGAGCTGAGGGCTTCTCCACGAAAACCAAAGGTCCCAACATTTGCCAAATCCTCAAATTCCGAAAGTTTAGATGTATGATATTTCAAACCTGAAGCAAAACAATTATCATTTTCTCATAATATCTTGCAAATTAAAGAATATACGTCAAAGATTATTGTTAAATATTATGTTTAGCATGAAAAAATTTACTTTACAATGAAACTCAAATATTTATTTCTCTTACATCTACCACAACCTATTAGTATTACCCCTCCCCTAACTTACAGAAAAGATATATGCTTGTACTTTCTCCTGATCAATAATTAATATCACATGATATATCAAATCTCTTTCACTATATTTTGAAGTGATTATATACATGTCGTCATGGGCATCCACAGGAATTTTTCGAGAGGGGGGAGAACAACAAAGTCTAAATCAAAATACTTTCTATGAGTCACAATAGTGGATCATAATAGGAATCACATAATAACTTACTCAAGACTCTAATAGAGCAATCGGACAAAAAACACCTTAAAAAGCTGACTTATTCTTGAAACAATACTCAAAACCTTCCTTTTCAATGGTTGGGACCACCCAAATACTGATAATAAGTAAAGTAACCGATTTCACGACTGGAGACAAAATCAAAATTTGTCCATTTATTCATATTATTACTACTAATATTATTGTTTCACAAGCCTGCAGCAAAATTGGCTGGGTGTTTTCCACCAAAACTTAGACAGATATACTATATGAAATGCTACAAATGTCTGTGACCTATTTAAAAGTTGATTTATGTGTTATAAATACACAATAGCTGTGATGTTCTTATGAGCATCTGCCTTTGTACTAGACAAATGTCACATGAAACCTCAGGCACAAAGCCACCTGGCTCAGTAAATAATTACTTTAAAAGACATATATCTTTGTTTAAAGTGTTGTTTTAAACATATTTGTGTTATTTAAAAAGGCTGCTTTTCTCCTGGTAACATTTTATATGTATTTAATGGGGATTGTTTCGTACTCTAAGCATATATTTGCCCATTCATGTGCATTAAAAAAGCCAACATACAAGATAATTAAAAATTAAGAACAAGGCTGGAGATCCACTGCTGACAGTTCAGGCTACAAAAATCCCTATTATGACTTCATTATAAAATTATTGCCAGTGATATCTACTGTAGTGTGGAATCACACAGGAATTTTGCAAAAAATTGAGATAGTAGTTTTAAACTTAAATCAACCTCCTTAATGTTGTCGTGCTGAAAAATTTTCCAAGCCCTTCACTTTCCACCGTCAAAATATCCAGTGTTTTCCTAGCATGCACGTTAGTTGGAAACAATAACTCATTCATTTTCTAGCGTATGAATTGGAAAATATCACGTGAAAGGTTCCCCATTTTGCTGTTGCATATCATTACTTGAGTCGTTATTGTTTATCATTACTAGAGTTTGCTGTCTCTACATTGATTTCTCCAATTTCAGCAATTTTTTAATAGTGGCTAATTACCATGGTAGTTTTTCCTACTCAGACGATGGTGGTGATTCAATCTACTATTTCGTATAAATAGCAGAAATTGTGAGTGTGTATTCAGTATTTATTACCACTGCATATAGCACTATTTCATATAGCTTTTGCTATTTTTAAATAGTTGGTGTTAAGGTAGCAGTTGTAAATGTTGTCAGTAATTGGTGACTGTTGTCTATTTTGCATGCAATATTTGTATCGCCTTATTTTAGCAAACACTTATGCACAGCAGGCTGTTGAAGAACTTAAATATGTCATGTCATTTAGACTTAACAAGGTAAGCATGTTACTAGGTCTGTTTACATTGCATTAATCTGTGTTGTATTATCTTAGAAGAAACATTATTTTATTCCATTCTGATGAGATTGGTTTGTTGCTGCTTGTTTTTTGTTACATTACACTGTGACTGATGGAAGCCAGTCATCAAATCTGTGATGATACAATCTTTGCCTTTAAGAGGGTCTCTGAGAACAACTTAAAATACTGTTTATTGTAGTTGCATACCAGTACATGTGTTTATTTTTTATTGTACATTTGTTATTTACTTTGAATAAGTTCAGTGTGGTGGTTGGGTGGAAAAAAAAGCCAATGTTGAAAACATATAACATTTAACTGAATGTATATGCACATATGTAGCTTAAAATATATTCTCCATAAATGGACATAAAAAACATTAAGAAACAAGATTAGGAAAAATTGTTAATATAAAAAGGGGAATAGGGATCATGAAAACGTATATAGACAAGTCTAATCAAAATGCAACGATTATATTTTCAAGCCTAAAACTAGGGACTAAAAAAGTAAACAAACAAGGCTGAAAAATCATAATTTTCCAATACTGAAAATGTATTTCCGATAGGTACTTCCCTTCACTCACAAGACTAACTATTCTTATTCATTGCTGCCCTCTACATGCGAACATTTTCTTTATGCATGCCACAAGCCTTCTGCTCCCCCCTACTGGAACCAAGTGATTCTAACATGTCTCTCATGTAAGTTATCATGCATCACCCTTCATCAATAAGAGTACAGTATACTCACATGATGCATGTGACTCCCTTTATGCACCTCTACCAAACTATCAGTTCGAAGTTTAGAAAATGGAAGCACCGGAAGGGTAGAATGGGTGGGAAGTGTGAGTGGAGGGCAATACCTTTTCAAAATACATCTTCAGTATAGGAAAATTATAACTTCCAATATGATACTTTCTTTTTTTCACAAGATTAGCTAGAATCCCACATTGATTAGGAGGTGCAAGGAAAGAACAGATGTACCCCCCAAAAGCATCCAAAGGATACCTCCATAGATGAGAGAGTCAGATCTGAAAAGGGGAATCGCACCACTTCTGACCAGGTATCCTCTTTGGTCATCTGTAAAGAGTGGAGAAAAACTGCAGAAAGAGGAGAGAAGCACATCCAAGTGGGAGAGAATTGAGGAAGGATAACTATCTAAATCCTTAAATAGATATACGCAAGTGGTGTAGAGTGGCTGGGGCATGACGGTCTGTACTTGCAACTACATCCAAAACCCATGCTGCTGAGAACTGACATCCACATGGGGGTAGGATGAGGACCATACCATCTTCACCTCAGAGACCAGAGGGAATATAAAACCATTCCAACTCCAGGGCATGAGGTTATTTGGGTTATCCAGGTTATTTGAGGAATATCTCAATATGGGAACCCGACATCTGGTATCAAAAGGATGTCTATGAAAACAAAATCTATTCCCCCCAACAGCAAAACCAACCGGAATCATCCAATAAGCAATAACATTCTAGGACAAAGATAAATGAGAGATAGCAAAGAACAGAACCAGAACAATTCCACTTATCCCTGCTGTGACTCACAACACAGGGGGAGCACAATCAAGGGAGGAAAATAGACAACCTTAAACATGCATGAGGACTTATTTTTTGATTGATTCACTCTAAACTATGGACCCAGCCATGGGGTACTGACATCCGTGCAGGGGTAAGATGAGGGCTCCCAATCGAAGGGGTGAACTGCAATTCAACATCTCACTCCATAGTAATAGTATAATGCATATTGGAAGCCATGGAATAGAAAGCACAAGTCAACATGGCTGTACAGTACGGATTTGGCCTTGTAGAATACCTGGCCAGGCACCAATTGCCACAGAACAGGATCCATATAATGAGGGTATGAAGGATGGGCCCATGAAATAAAAGATAGCATTAATATAGACTTACCCAGTATTAGAGTTGCACCAAAACTTGAAGAACAGCCACAGGTGGAGGGCGAAAACCCGAGGAAGCCAAAACCACAATATGATGTAAATAATGAGAGATGAATGTGTTACGTGTGGTCCACATGCCCGATTGCAGGATTTCCTCCAATGACTGATGAAGACGAGAAGCGAGGGAAAAGATGAGGTGTCAAATTTGATGAGAAGTAACTCCTGTGGGAAGGGGACAATGAGGAATAAGCCAACTGGATCAAACAATGAACCCAGTTGGTGAGGGTAGAAGGGAATAGATCACTAGATGAAAAAGATTGCCACAGAATAAAGAATTGGGAATAGGAACCGTGCGGACAATATAGTAATGAAGGGTATGCACCGTACACAGAAGTCTATCCAGATCAGGATGAGAGCAGAGATGAGAGATAGAGGGAAGAGAAATAGGCAAAAAGGAGGACTTAACATCAGGAGCCGCCAAGGTTTTTGGGAGGAAGGAACGATCTGGATAAAGGAGAAGATAGGTATGGTGGTCAAATGTGTGTGTGTGTGTGTGTAACATCAATGGCAAACAAGTAAGACTGTCGACGACCACAGGCCAAGAGAAGAAGGATATACACCTTAAGAGAAAGGTGAAACATAGAACACAAGTAAAGAGGTTTGAACAGACGTAAAGTAAGGGAATGGAAGACCACATTAATGTCCCAGTCTGGAAGAGTAGGTTGTTGAGGAAGGCAACAAATCCAGAAGGAAAGGATTAAAATGGTAAGGACAAGTGAATCAAAGACTACGGTAACAGGAAAGGCGAAAGGTATGGAACAAGGCTGCCTTATAACCCAAAATCGAAGAAACCAAAGAGCCCCGGTCAAAAAGCCACACCAGCCACAGTAGGTCGAGCAGCTGGAATTCTCCAAGCCTGTGACCACATGTGAAAGACTTTCCACTTCTGTTGATATACTTCCATGGAAGAAAGATGTATGGACCGAGCCAAATTGAAAAGCTATGCAATGGGAAAAACCCGATCTCCTCGCCAAGAACTGGACAAAAGCCAGGCATGACAACAGAAGGTGTGAACTGTAAGATGTAGAACTGGTGACTGGGGGTTGACGAAGGAGGGCAGGGAATAAGGAAAGGGGTACAGGAGGGAATAACTGGAGTTGGTGTAAACAAGGAAACCACAGTTGAACTGGCCAATTGGGAGCTTTCAGAAGAAGCCAGCATGGAGTGGTATGGATTAGGAAAACTACCCGATGAATCAATCAGGGAGTAGAATAGACATACAGGAATTTGTGGAACCAATCTTAACTGATATCATCGATAGCCAAAGCCTGAGGATGAGGTACCGGGAACCAAAAGAAGGGTAATTTGTAATTAATGGTGATGGCAAATGCATTGATATGAGGAAAACCTCAACGATTGCAAAGCCAATGGAAAATGAGAGAATCGAAGGATCACTACATCAGATAAGTCTTGTCTGGGCGGGAAAGACGATCCACCATGAGATTGAAAGCACCAGGACCATGATACATGATTAAATGAATGTGGTGCATGTGAGCCCAATCGAGGAGATCCAACATACAAAAACAGGGGGATCTTGACCAGATGCCACTTTAGTGATTGATATATGCTACCACTATCAAACTGAATCATCACCAAACAATGTCGGGTGAGAGGTAAGATGTGATCCAAAGCTTGATGTTGAAATATAAGGACTGCTCATTGGTGATCGACCGATGCATTCCAGCCCTGAAGGGATGTGTCTGTTAACAGATGTAAATCTGGAAAATGAGGAAGAAATGGGACACCCGACAATGAACGAGTCTTGTCCTACTACCAAAGCACACTAGGGAAGGAGGAAGTGTAATAGGAGCAGCCAAAAGATCCTGAGCAAGGTTCCATTGCTCATTCAGAGTCCACTGTAAGAAAAGCATATGTGCATGACCTAGGGGGACTAGTGTTGTCATGGAAGACCACATCCCCAACAGCGATGGAACCTCGCATGCAGAAAGTGAGGGAGCAGACAGGGTGTGGTAAACTAACAATTCCATGGAACGAAGTTGGAGAGGAGAAGGTTGGGCCCAACTGAGGTGAGTGTTGAAAAAGACAAACAATGAACAATGTATTGGGTAGAATGGAGGTAGGACTGGCCGACTCCAGTTCAGAATGGGCCAGAAGAAGCCAGTCATTAATATAATAATGGAAACACAGCCCTAAGGCATGAAGATGAAGAGCAAAAGCCCTGACCACCCAATAGAAAACATAAGGTGCATAAGCAAGCCCGAAGAGTAGGGCAAAAAACTGGTACACCACTCTGTGATGGACGAAATCCTTGCTGGGACTTGACTATGCAGGTACACATTGGCAACGTCCACCTTGGTCATCCATAAACCTGGAGAAAATGCCCACCAAAGGGTGAGATAGGACTCCATGGTAAAATGGGGAAGTTGAACGAAGCGATTGAGGTGGGACAAATCAATGACAGGCCTCCAGTTCCCAGTTTTCTTGGGAAAAACAAATATTCGGGAACAGGTTCGATAGCCCGTTGAGGAGGAGGTCCTGAACCGTCTCTGACAGACACTGAAAAACAATGGGACCCCAAGATGGAGGGAAGAAAATGCATACAGAAGACAAGGGAGGCATGGCAAAAACTGGATCTCAAATTCTTCCAACAAAACTTGAAAAACCCAAACATTGTTGATGAAAGGGTGTCATTGATGTAAAAGGGCTGCAAGTTAAGCTCCCACTAGACCAGAGCCCCACCAGGTAGTCACTGGTACTGTTGGCGACACAACGTGCCTCATCGAGAAAAATTACAAACTGTGGTACCTTGAGAAGGGGGAACAGGCAAGGGTTGGGTAGGGGAAGGATGAGAAACTGTAATGGGTCCCACACTTGGCTTTGACTGAGACAAACAAGCTACCAGATGGGAAAGGGTAAACTGTTGTTGGACTGGTGCCACCCGAGATTCTAAAGACTCTGAGATCATATCAAAGACAAAACGCTGTAAAAACAGGGCCATACGTAAATAATGGAGATAAGGTGTAGGTAAACAGGTCCTCAATAAGACAGCATCCCGGTCCAGAATGTCCCAACAACAAAGAAACCACCAGAACCAAAGATGACAAATGAGTCAACGTGGAGATAAGGAGGGAGAGGATGTCCCCAGACAACCACTCGGGTTTTCTGTGAAGAGCTTTAGATAAGAGATGAATAGTGGAAAGATACTGCAAAAGAGTTGTGAGGGTAAATTATAGGCAGGAAAATTGGGCATGGGTTAAACTGATAGGAGATTCCGGGCCCACCCCTCAAATGGGTAAAACAGAACCCAACAGCTGCTGGTCAAGATAATGACAGTCTGTATGATGATAAGCGAGAGCTGATTGATGCAAAGTCAATGGGAGACGAGGCATACTAGTTCATGTTTTCCTTCAAGTCAACACAAAGGCGAATGTATAAAAAAATAAAGGTGACTATAATGAGTTAGAATCAAAGTAATTCGAAAGAAAACTGGGTAGTTTATAAAATATAACCACTTCGAGACGAAACTGTATCTCAAACTGTTTAAATCAAGTAAAAAAAAAAGAAAAAAGAAACATGTCCGAACACAAGCACTGCCAAACGAAAAGTGGTAGTTTGGTAGAAGCACATAGAAGGAGTCACATGTGTCACGTGAGTATACTATGCTCCTATTGGCAGAGAGGTGATGCATGATGATTTATATGAAAGACACGTTGGAAACACTTGATTCCAATAGGGGAGAGCAGAAGGCTTGTGGTAAGTATAAAGAAAACGTTCACATATAGAGGGCAGCAATAAATGAGAACAGATAATCTTGTGAGCAGAAGGAAGTACCATATTGGAACAGTGTCTAAATTATTTTCTCAACTACAAATCCCAATCTTGATTCCATGTCTACCATACCTATCAATTTTAGTGGAGCCAAAATACGGATGTGTAGCTTGAGAAATAATGTAAACACTATTTCCAGCCCTGTATGCTTATGTTTTATTAGAGTCCCTAGTGTAGGTTTGGAAATATAATCTATACAGTTTGATTCAATTTGTATCCATATTTTTCTGACAATCCCTATAGCCCCTTTTTAAATTAACAACTTATTGTAATATTGTGTGTATGGTTATATTATATATATATATATATATATGTATATATACACACTGAATGAATAAAGAAATACATTTCTGACTTTCCAAGTACTCCCTTATCCCCCTCCAGATGCCCATGCATGTCTTGTATCCTCTGTCAATATTATTCTATTGCAGTCAATTTCAGCTATATGTAATTTGGAAAACCACAAAGATCCCTGTCACTCCTGGGGAAGAAATGAAATCAAAGGTCCCGTAACACAGAACAAGAAAATAAATCATCAAGGTAATCAAGATACTTGTTTCCAGAAGCAGGCTTCCACAATACTAATATTAACAGGGACTAATTGGTTCAGCATTGGGACAAGAATAGTTTCTACAAAATTTCCTAAACTCCAATTCACTCTATGAAAACATACAAGGCAGTCTAAGACCACATAAGAAATTTTCCTCTTCAAGTAAGTATTTACCAGAAATTGCACCTACTTTGGAGACAAATGACTTAGAAGTAAATATATTCCCTGAACATTATATGTCAAGAGTGTATAAAAACCTCTAATGAGTGGGAGGTGCCCAGAAGACAAAAAAAAATGAGAAGATTAGCCTGTTCAGTTAATTCTGATCAATCTGAGGGCGTGATGCAATGAATCAGTATCTTAATCATCTGGCAAAGAGGTGTAATAAGTTATCAGAGAAGATATTTCCCCCAAATAGGCACACATAAGTAAAGTAAAATCAGTTTAACTAATACAAGTGTAGGAAATAAGCAGTACCTATTGTACACATCCACAGGATACTACAGCCATTCAATGCATTGTGGCTGAAAGCAAAATCAAGTGTCCCATAACAAACTATGATGAATGAGCTCCATGAATAATTTTAAAGCAGTTCGTAAAATAACTTATAAAATTGTTCCGGACTGCGACATTTTATGGACTGGTTCTGCCTGTTTAGTTGAGGATGACATTTTGAACTGTTAGTGAAGGTCTGTATCAGGCCAAGCATTGAAAGTTGTGGGGTATAATACAGAAGGAAGGTACAGTAACGAGAGCAAGTTTAGGAGTGTAGAATCCTGGAAAGTGTCTATAAACAAGGGCCCTGGTGTACATAGGTCACATGACATCATCCGAGTTAACTTAGTAATTATTACACAGGGACGCAGAAATGATTTTCTTCCTTCAAGTGCACAGATAAATGATGGAACTAAAAATACATTTCAAGATATTTCACAGATTCTGTCTAAAAATATGTCACAAGTTAAGGTTTCAAATTACAACTGACTAATATTGTCAATGTGTTTTACATATAGTATTTCATAATTCTAGCTAAAATATTCCAATACCTACGTGTAGTGAGACACTGATCAAAGTGATATTACTTCTAGACAAACATATCAATGCATTACAGACAAATAAAAAAACTTGTTCACATTATGAAAATTTAAGAATATGTAGTTTTTGGCATGATTTTATTTCAATGTCATTGAAAAATCTTACAGATTTTAACAAAACACATCCACACACTAAATTTCATCACTGTAAATCAAATTCATCTTTCGATCTACAAACAAAAATGAAAAATAATTAAATAACAATGCTCAAACAAATCTCTTAAAATATATTACTGTAACTATGTGATCTAATTTTCAGTGCAATTATTTCAACATCTGCTTTATTGTATAAATTAAAAGTAATTACTGCATGCAACAAATACATCAATGATGTCAAAATCTATGGTATAAATCTAGACAATTTACTAATACTTATAGTACACAACTCCAACCATGCTTAACAAAAAACCTTGTATGTATGTGTACATATATATAAACACGCAAACAGACTAAAAATAATTATAATGTACTTCAATATTCTACCTTTCAAAATAAATTATCATACTTACTCAGTCCTTCAAAATTTGATTCATGAACACCAACGCCATTGTCAGAAACTTCTACAAGTTCACTGCCATATTCTTTGAGTCGTACCTCTGAAAAACATATGACTTTTAATAGTAAACACTAACTTATTTGACACTCATAAATTTTGAAAATGTACATTAATTTTCATGACTTTCAACTAAACCTTTAAAATGCACCATTTGCATTTTGATCATCTTTTTTTATTGAAGGAGTGCAGTTTTATGCAAAATTAGTTTATAAATAATACAATCACTTTACAAGATTATGCAAGGCCTTCAATATTAAACACCAGCCTTTTAAAACATTACTGTACTGTAAATGATTATGTGTGTGGTGATTCAAGTGCTAGTGCTAAGTAATCTATCTAAATATTAAATCAACATGAAACAAATTTATTTTCTACACATAAAACCTGTTCTTAATGGACACCTAATCATTGCATTATTTTACAGTGGGGCTATATAATTTACAAAATAAATATATTTAACCATACTGAAATATATATTGTTGCATCAGCAGAGGTCACGTGACTAGTATCATGCCACATCCTTCTTGAACATTCACGTCCCTTCATTAAATCTCAGGATCTTTCTAGATATAGTGTAGTCTTGTATGTATAAGACGGTCACAATGTATGTAATTGAACTGAGTATTGTTGAGTCGAGCACGTGAGACGTTCATTGAAAATTATAGCATTTGTTATAGCGCGACT